GGCTCTTTCTGTCCTTTTTGCGTTTTCTAGCAACGCGCCGCGTGAAGAAGAAGCACTTGTTGAATTGCACCTTGAGCAATTCACTCACGGTCACTTATTCTGCGCGTCCGTCCCAGGGGAAGAAGGCGCTTTGCCGCGTGGCGGTGCGTCTGCTTTTGTCACCTTGTGCAGAATGACCTTTGGTCAAAGAGCTTCAACGTCATTGATCGCCCGGCCCGTGTTACCTTTCCAAAGCTAAGTACTTCTCGCGGGCAAGAGATGAAGCGGTTGGGAAGCCCGCGGCTGGAGAGCACACCCTCGACTTCTCCGGAGCGCGGCCGCGGAGGCGTTGCTAGTGCTCAGAATTAAAATCACGCAAAGAACTGCACAGGCTGCGCTGGAGACTCCATGATAAAATAATAATAATAGCTATTATTGTAATAACGATAGAAAGAGCGACGAAGATGGTCACTTGATGCTGAGAGGGGATTTTCAGGCCTAGGACTGTTGCACAAAACAGACGCGACGTTTGTTTTTGACGACTTCAGCAGCCAAAAAAGCAACGTTTCATCAGGACTGTGAGCCCTTCTCCTTTTTTCGTTAGGGATGGGGTCAGAAAAAGAAAGTATTTTTAAAAAGCCCAAACCTTGACGACGCATGCAGCAGGTTAACGAGCGACTCACTGTTTCCCATCCATCGCTGCTTCGGTGTCCGCGATACGGTTTCGTTGTTCCTTCTGTAATCTGCAGGAGTTAAAAATGTTAGCATTATGTTGTAAGCACTTTTCTGTGCCAAATTCATCCAAAATGTGGAAACGCGTTTTAGAAATAGGCAGTTCTGGTAGTATTAAGTATTCAGGGGCCAGCTCTGTCTTTTTATTCTTTCGGTGGTCGTGGGCAAGATCACTCGGGCTGTTTACGCCTGCTGGAGGTAGTGACGGCTTGTCTGTGCCAGGCTGCTGGGGATCTCTTGATATAGTTCTGAGAGCATGAGCATTAAGCCTTAGTCACTGATACGCTTTTTCTTCCTTTTAGTCATT